CTCTTCCATAAAACCATTCAACTATCCAACCCTAGATGTTGCGTCCGTCCTTGAAATGACATATCGGTATACTTCGCCGACAAATTCGGAACTACACATGGCCTGATTCCTATAAAACCAGGGATATGTAGGCATCTCAGAAGCCAGGTGCAGCCCAATCTCTCGAACCGTTTTGCTCGGTCAAAATTGGCCATCATTTCTTTACCCGAAAACTCTTTCATCCTTCCCGAGTAAAGAGGGGCAGTTGTTAATACCCAATTTTTTCCTATATTTTTTATATGCATAAATACCTTCAAAATAGCATATACATGCATATATAAGCATGCATAAGGGTTTTACAATTTTTCCCATGATTTTAGGAATTTAAGTTGATTTGTTTTCTTCCCTTTTATTCATAAAATCCCAATAATTATTTTCCAAATTATTGTTATGATGATTTAGTCATTTAATTTCTATATTTATGCCAAATATGGTTAATATATTTTTTATATAATTGCATTTGGTATTTTAAGCTAAATTTGCATATAATTGCAATATTAGTCCATTTAATGTATAATTACATCCTATATGCGTAAAATTGGNAATGGTTACCTATATTTTAAAATGATAAATATATATCATAAATCATTTTGGTACATAAATTATTTTCCATTAAATTTTATTATTTATTATATATTAAATAGGGGAAATTTGGCTATTTGAAATATAGCCAGATTGACATTTCAATTGTAGCCTAAATTGAACCCAACCCCAGCCCAATTTCTTATTAAATTACCCGACCCAGACCCTATACACACTTACCCGACCCAGAACCCGTTAGATCATGGCCGTTGATTTGAGAGATCAACGGCCCGTATCGTTTCTTTCCTTTTTAATCTTAAACAACTCCTAACCCTAATCACTCTCTACACATCGGTGCCTCTGTATCCTCTTGTCTCCTCTCCTCTCTCAACCTAACCCTAACCCCCTTTCAACCGCCGCCCCCTTCTTCGGTCATCTCCAGTGATTACCTTTCAATTCCTAAGCCTCCAATGGCTCCTCCATTGCCTTGCTCATCTTCTCTGAGGCCTTCAAGGGCCCTGGTCCATGCCGACTTGTATCTAGGGTTGCTGTTTTTGTTGTTCATGGCTTCTCCCGTGTGATTTTGAGCCAAATCACACTATATTTGTTACGATCTTTGAGGTTCTAAACAGATTCTTCCGTTTCTATTTGGGTTTCCTTTGGAACCCTAACTTTCGTTTGTATTTCTTAGATCTGTGTTATTTTTTTCAACGATTCGAGTCTGTTCTTTCTATGTTTTACACCGTTCTCAAACCTCTTTTGCAAAAATCATCGATTGCGAGTTGTTTTAATTTCTTTTAAAAGTTAGGGTTTTGAAACTTTTTCTACACTCTGTTTAAATCGATTCTTCATGTTTAAACCTCTATCCTTTGCATATCTCGACTGATTCTGTGTTTTTCTCCTTTTTCAACTCGTCTATGTTGAAAACCCTAAGTTCTTAGTCCTACCCTTGGGTTTCTGAGTGTCGTTTTGATAATATGTTCAGTTAATCTGTATGTTCCTATGATTCTGTCATTTTTGCCCTATGTTTGCTTGTTAGGTTTCCTAATTGTGGTTATCCTTGCCTATTGTGTGATTTTTGCTCACCGATGTTTCTGATTCTTCACTTCTCCTACCTGTATCATACTTAGCCTACTAATTCAGACTATGCTCTACATGAATCCCTAATTTTATATGTGATTCTTGTCCTACCCGACCTCTTAGGTTTCTGATTTCTGCTTACCATGTGCTTGTTCTTATAGAGTGGTGCTAAATCAGTGTTGTCTCCTATTCTTGCATCCTTGAATCTTTGTGATTGATCTTTCACTGATTCCGCATGTTATTTCTACTGATTTTTACCTTGTAGAATGTTTTCTGACCTTATTCTATGGTCAATTATGCTATTAATTGATTGGTCAAGTCTTTCCTTGATTGAAGTGTGTTGAACCTGGCCTCTATTACATATTGTGTACTTGTACTATGCAGAAAATATTTGCTTAATTGGCATGTTCAGCCTTATACGATTTCCTTCCTTATTTGTTGTATGTCTATTACCGTTTGAGGTTAATTCCTCAATTAAAGGGTGTACTTACCTTGATTTCTTGACTGATTGATTCTGAGTTCCTTAATTACTGGTGAACTTTGATTTTTACCTTATTTGCTACTTGTTTTCAACCTATAAATACCTTAGTCTTTCATTAACACAAGGGACGATCACGGGGTTCAAAACTATCTCTCATACTTAAAAATTTCTTCCCTCTCTCTTGTGCTACTTGCTACTGCTCTAAGTTAGCCAGTTGCAAGCCAAGGCTAACCATTTGTGCTCTCTTGTTCTTTCATCCTGCTCACTACTCTCTTTACTGGTATGTCCTAGTTTCAATTCAAAGTTCCAACAACAATATGATTCTCTTATTGTTTCAGTTCATCTTGTTTCTAGTTTGCTTCTATTTGTGGTTTTGTTGTGAAACTTGTAGTTGAGGGTTGCATTACTAGCATGTTATCATATCTTCCCCTCCCTTGAGATCAGTATATTTCCCCTTCTGTCTGTTTCTGAGCATGTATACACCAATCATCTCTTACTTGTTATGTGTTTACCACCATGAATCCCCAAATCCCTATCACCCCTCTATGTGGTTATGTTCTTCATGCCTGGTTTTGTGACTATGTCTGGTCAGTTGTTTCTGAGCATGTCTAAACCAGTCCTAGACCTTTACTGGGTTATGTGTTTGCAGTCAAGTGTTCTATGTATCCCAAACCCCTTGACCCCTGTGTGTGACTACTGAGTTTACTTGGTTCTGTGAATTGTCCATGTATAAACCTATCCTAAGATGTTTGGACTTCTGTTCATTCCTTCAATCTCTTTTCAAACAGTCTCCATTGCTTTACTAAATTACTTTCAAACAGACTTTTGTTTTAATACAGTTTTCTACTAAAACCTTTCAGCTTGTGTCCATCACTTCTCACTCTACTCTTAGTCAATAAGTTCTGCCCCCTCCATTATGTGTACTGCCTTGGGATCCTCTTAAGAACCCTCTGAACTCTGGCATACTGAGGCTGGCCTTTCCACACTGCACTTGTTCAATCTTTGGTTACTAAGTCTAGGTGTAAGCACTGCCCGGGATCCTTGAGATCCTTAGGGAACTTTGATGCACCTAGACTCTAACTTTGTCTATGGAATTGAGGCATTTGAGGCCATTGGAGGCTTTGGGAAATCTGGGCCTAATCGGAGGCTCCCTATAGAATAGCTTCTTGATTTTTTATTTACTTATGTAATTCATTCATTGGTCTGTAATAACTTGTAAACAGATATTGGGGTATTTAGTGAAAAGGGTGGGTAGATACATGTTTTGTGGGGTAATTCGGGTAGAAATCATGCTCATAGGACTTTACTTTTAAATCTGTTTGCTCTACTAAGTAGAAATCATGCTCCTAGGACTTCATGTTTAAATCTGATTTGTTTATCCAATAGAAATCATGCTCCTAGGCCTTCATGCTTAAATTCGATTGCCTCAAGTAGAAATCATGTTTATAAGGTTTTACATTTTGTCATGTTTAGAAACCATGCCTATAGGTTCTAAATAATCATGCCTTCAATCAGATTAACTGATAGATGCCATGCCTATAGAAATTAATCCAAATTATGTTATGGCAAGTGTTTATGTCTGGATGTCTTAAAATCAGACTAACAAACGTATACATCGTGCCTATAGGGAACCATATTTGAAATTCCGCCTGTCAATCCAATTAGTCTAAATAAATCAACTTAGTCCCCGCCTAGTCCATTTCTGAATTGGTTTTATTAAGTATTTCATATTTCTTGAAACAAGTTCTTTCAAACTGCCTCAATCTCATTAGATATCATGCCTATAGGTATCAACGAAGTCTGTTTCAAAACCTGCTTTGTTTCTACACAAATGTGCTAATCAGCACTCCGCGTATAGGCAAGCCCTTAGGGCGTTTTCAAAAAAAAAATGCATCTCTGAAACTGTTTCTATTGCTTAATGTTTTCTGATCCTAACAGGCTTTAAAAAATCCATTGGCAATTGTTAGGGTTGTAACTTCTGAGTCTAAAAGAGGTTGTTTGTCTTTTGCACACTTAGATATCCTGCCTTAGGACATTGTCTAATAAAAGACCTTCACTATGCTTGAGTCGCGCTGCTTATGTGTTTGTTTGGGGAGGAAACTCTGAGCCTCTAATTGCCCCCTTTTACGTGCTGAAAGTCCTAAGTGTTTTGATTGTCGCCTTAGAATTTTCACCTTTTAAAACCTTAGGGGTGCGTCTAAAACCACCTATAGGTAGATGTCCTAACTCCCTCCAGGACCATTAAGAAGGGACGGGTAGCAGCACTCAATAGAAATCGTTGACCAAACACTCGCTTTGCATGACCAATAAGGGGATGGGAAGGGTAGATATGGATATGATGACCAGTGCGCTAATGCCACGCGTAGCCCCTTTTCCGAGGAGTGATTACCGGGCATTGTACTGATGTGATCCTATAGGCTAACTAACCTAGGACCTCCCTCTTCCCAAATTCTCTTTACCTGAAGCTTTACTTTCCCTTTTTATGCACATAACCTGTTTAAGTTCTTGTTTTATTGTTTGAGTTATACAATGCCCAACATGCTCTGCTTGCAATTATTTGCTTAAATTGTTTATTTTGTTAATGGACTAATTCGTAAGTGTAAGTTCGGCCGGGACCTACAGTTGTGGACCAAGAGGGGTGCCTAACACCTTCCCCCTCTAGGTTATTTCGAGCCCTTACCCTAATCTCTGGTAATGCAAACCAATCTAAGAGTTAATTCTCTAGGTGCCCTAACGCACCTCAAAAATTGTTAGGTGGCGACTCTTGAAATACCCAATTCCCAAAAGGAAACGAGTCGATCCCTCATGAATGTCGAAACCCGGACTTCTGCCCCCGCGAGGGAAGGGGAAAAAAAAGGGGGTGCGACACCGTGTAAGAATGACCCTTCCGAATGTATCTGAAGGAATGGCGGTGGTCTCTTTCCAGAATGGGTTGAGCAGAAGTGGGTCGCGAGCGACCAAAAAGTTGCTAAGACGACTCATGAAATACCCTCCAACCACTTGGGACGAGATACACAACGCCTACTATGCCGAGGTAAGAGCCGACGAGGTTGATCTCAATGGACCTACTCAACGCCTGACCTCGGTCCAAATGGAGTCTAGGAAAGACCGAAGAAACGACAGCAGAAGAGATCTAGCAGGGTCACGACCTAATCGAGAAAGACATCAGCCTTACGTCAGAGGCACTCTCTTGCCGCCTCCACGTCACGACAAAGGTTCATCCATGCCGCGAACAGGAATCCACCAAAATGGAAGAGGTATGCCCCCTTATTATCAGCTCACAATTTTGTGTTTCCCCCTCACAAAAAGTCTACACATTGGAAAAGCTCGGCCCAAAGGTAAAATGGTCACAGAAGATGAAGTCCGACCCAAGCACCAGAAAGTCAAACGCCCTTACGAATTCCACCAGGAACGGGGTCACAAGACCGAGGACTGCATCGCCCTTAGACAGGAGGTCGTGAACATGCTTCACCAATGGCACCTAAAAGAGTTGATGAGCGATCGAGAGAGGACAAACTTCGCCCGAGGGCGAGAACAACATCAGGGGCCACCCAAACCACCTTCCCCAGTTCGGACCATTCAAATGATCATCGGAGAAGGCGACGACGCATCCATCAATAGCATGAAGTTCACCACCACTCACAATCTCAAGCTGTCAATCACCCACGAACGGTATGACGAACTCGAAGAAAGTATCATCTTCTATAAGTCGGATACCCACGGTTTGGTCTTTCCTCACTATGACGCCCTTGTCATTACTTTACGTATTTTTGATACTGATGTAAGACGTATCATGGTCGACGATGGAAGCGGCGCGTGCATCAACCATCCTCGAGTACTCACCCAAAGGAAACTCGAGGACAGGAAAGTGCCACGCTGCATCAGGTTTTAACAATGCAGTTGAGCGAACATCTGGAGAAATCACGCTGCCCGCCTTGGCTGGCGGCGTCACCTTGGAGACCACGTTCCACATGATAAACCAGGATATGACGTACAACGCCATCATAAGCCAACCATGGATCACGCCATGAAAGCCGTCCCCTTCAGCTTGTACCAAGTTATTAAATTTCCCACCCCTTGGGAGTATTCTGCATCCGGGGAGAGCAACGCACTGCCCAAGAATGTTACTGCATCACCCAAGACTGCACGTACACCCAACATTTGAAAGAAAAAGCCGAAGAAGCATAGCAATTAATGAAATCGGGGTCGGATGGCGATGAAAAGAAAGACGTTATCAGCGACCCTGAAATCATAGAAGCCATGGGGTCAACCGTAGAGGACCTCGACCCCGTCCAATAGGTTATGACGACCACAGCAAAAAAGCTTTCATCGGCCATAAACTCCAAGATCTAGGTAAATTACATCAATTCTTAAAAAATAACGTAGACCTATTTGCTTTTTCCCATGTAGACATGCCAGGTGTCCCAAAGGAGATAGCAACTCACAAGTTGAACGTCGACCCATTTTACCCCCCAGTAAGGCAAATCAGACGAAAGTTCAACTCTGTAATAAACAACACAGTTCGTGAAGAGGTCGAGAAATTGTTAGTGAACGTTTCTATCAGAGAATCGAAGTACCCTCAGTGGGTCGCCAATGTAGTCATGGTGAAAAAGGAGAACGGTAAGTGGAGAATGTGCGTGGACTTCACAGATCTGAACAAAGCCTGCCCAAAAGACTCGTTCCCTTTGCCCACATCGACCAACTCATTGACACCACAGCCGGGCACGAACTGCTGAATTTCTTGGATGCCTACTCGGGCTACAACCAAATCCTTATGGAGGAGGAGGACCAGGAAAAAACAACCTTCATCACCCATCAGGGGACATACTGCTATAGAGTGATGCCGTTCGGGTTAAAAAATGCGGGGGCAACGTACCAGAGGCTGGTAACTAAAATGTTCAAAGATCAACTCGGCAAGACCATGGAAGTATATATAGACGACATGTTGGTCAAGTCAAAGAGAAAGGAAGACCATATCGACCACCTGAGGGAAACCTTCGACATACTCTGAAGGTACGACATGAAATTAAACCCCCAAAAATGTGCTTTTGGCGTGACATCTCGAACATTCCTCGGCTTATTGGTATCACAACGAGGCATCGAGGTCAATCCCGACCAACTCAAGGCCATAGAAGGAATCCCAGAAAATCTAACCAGCAAAAAGCAAGTGCAAAAGCTAACTGGCCGGATAGCCGCCCTGTCAAGATTCATCTCGCGGTCTTCCGATAGATGCCACAATGTTTTTTTGCACTCAAAATGGATAACGGACTCCAATGGAATTCCGAGTGCGTCAACTCCTTGAAAGAACTAAAGGCCTACCTGTCTTCGCCACCGTTGCTCGCTAAGGCAGAACTCGGAGAGTGCCTCCTCGTCTACCTGGCCGTGTCCGACGTCGCAGTAAATGCTGCCCTGGTACGAGAAAATAAAGGTACGCAATCTCCGATCTATTATATTAGCAAAACTTTGGTCGACGCTGAAACGAGGTACCCCCACCTATAGAAGTTAGCTCTGGCTCTGGTTGTAGCTTCACTGAAGCTTAGACCTTATTTCCAGTGCCACCCCATCTCGATGGTCACAACTTTTAATTCAAGGAGTATCCTGCACAAACCCGAATTGTCGGGCAGATTGGTCAAGTGGGCCATAGAACTGAGTGATTAGGTCGCAACGGACTCAACCTTAGGAAGAGTGGGCGCTAATATTTTACCCAATAGTAGTATCGGGGTCAATTTCCACAGGGAGCTAGAAAGGGAATTGGATATTTGTTTAGCCTAGAATTGCGTGTTTGCTTCTAATTGATCTTCTATCATTTTTGGGTTTTTGTGATTATCAACTACAATTTAACAACTACTACTTATAACTAAATTATGCTAAGATAGTAACTCTAGGTTGTATGCAAGATAGAGAAAGACACTAGGGTCGTGGCATTTACCTAGGTGGTCAACTAACGGGTCGAGATTCCTAATACGAGAATGATGATTATGGGGCTTATGATATAACCGTTGCACGATAGCATTCACTCTCACACCTCTCGGTAGAAAGAGTGATTTTGCCCAATTGACTCTCTCGAGACCAATTGGGTAGGCTAACAAACCAAGCAACTTAGGGTTCAAGTTGGGTAATCACTCTCTCGAGGTCTTACCCGTTAATTGGGACTACCATTCTCATGGGTCCATCCCAATTCCTTGTTGGGTTAACTTTGGAGTCATAGACACTCTTTCTCAAGAAGAGTCAAGACTCACTAAGCTAGACTTAGTGTTTGCAA